TTCGCTTTGGGATTACTTCTTATTTCCCCTGAATAGATCTTGTTTGTTCTTATCTATTTGCTTGTTGTCTCCTCCCATTAGACTGTAAGCTCCTTAAGGGCAGGGACTGTCTTACTTTTCTTTGTAACCCCAGTGCTTAGCACAGAGCCTGAAATATAGTAGGAACTTAATAACTGCTTGTTGACTTCACTTTTTTGAACTGTAATTTGAGGTACAATGCTATGTGCCTGCCACTCCTTTAGGAGTTCACACAGACCCTATGTAGCCTCTAAAACATAGAAAAACCAAACACAGGCTTTCCTTAATACATGAAGAGAAGGATCAGTCTTTACTTTTCTCCCATCCAAACCTCCTTACAAAAAAAAAATGCCTTCTAAAACTATCTGATATTTATACAGCACTCTGAGGTTTGCAAAATGCTTCACAAATATTATCTAATTTGATCCTCACAACCTGGGGAGGTAGGTGCTAATATTATCCTCATTTTACAGATGAAGAAACTAAGGCAGCAGTTTAGTGACCTGACCAGGGTCATACAGCAAGTGTCTGAGGTTAGATTTCAACTCAGGACTTCCTAACTCCAGGTTTGGTGCTCTATCTACTTTGCCATGTAGCTGCCTTCTGCTAGTCTATGGTCATTCTTAAATCCCTTGATAAAATCTGATCTAGAATTATTCCCCTTTGGGAATATCCCACAGGAACTGGGGATTGGAATTTTGGGCAGAGGAGTTGAACTGCCATGTCTTCTCTCCTATCATTGATTGGTGTTTTTCTTTGGAAAAAGGCATGAGATCTCCCCATTTAGAGTGCCCTGCTTCCCACTCCTTGAGACTGTCCTGCCCCTCTTCCTGCCCACACCCTCCTCACCCGCTTCGGCACATGTTGACCACATTGTTTATCATGCTGCTGGTGAAGTGCTGCTTTGCCATCTGGGGCAATGAGGTCATCAGGTTCCTCATGGTGTAGCAAGCAGATGACATGATGTCCCCTGAGTTGCTGGTGTTGCCCGTCTGGCTAGAGAGGAGACGAGTCATTTCTGGGAATATCTGGTTCCCTTTAAGAGAAAGGGGTGGGAAGACAGGTTCAGGACCCAGGAAAATCAATAAGTTATAAGATGAGGTCTTTAACTTCAACATTATGGCCCTGGCCTTCCATCATTTAGGGATCAGGAAGCATGGAGCTTCCAGTGGAAAATGCTAACTTGGAGCTCAAAGACTTGTATTTGAATCCTAGCCGTGCCACTTAGGATTCATGTGACCCTGGGCAGGTCATTCAACCTCTGTGGGACTTCATATTCTCATCTACAGAGGTAGAGAGTTGGACCAGAAAGCTTTTAAGAGCCCTTCCAGCTCCCACTGGACTCCATTGGAATCCATCAAACCCCATATCTATCACTAAAGCCCCATTCCATTCCAGCCAGAATCCTTGGCTACTCCATACTTACTTCCTAGTTTGGACTTCCTAGCTTGGACTCACTGCCTTACCCAATATTCTCCTTATCACCACATTCTGAGGACTTTTCCCTTAGTCTTACATTCTCTTTGTCATTTCATTCCATGATACACATGCATAGAAGGTGCTTAATGATTGCTAGAATGAATTTCTGTCCCCAAACATTTGCCTCAACCAATATAGACTTCTGAGATTCCTACCCCAGGGAACTTATGGCTAACTATGCTTATTAGCAGGACTTTTGGAGAGCCATACACTGAAAAGAGATTAGGGAGATGATTCAGGAGGGAAGCCCCATGGAGAACACCTCTTACCCATCACTTTGTGCAGCACAGGATGTCGAGACATGTTACTCAGGAGGGAGGCTCCAGACCTGACCACATCGGAGTTACTTGATTGAAGAAGGCGGGCAATTTGAGGTAAACCTTTTTCCTTCAGCCCAATCAATTGGCTCATGCCACTGGACATCTAGCAAAGAAATGAAGAGCAATCACTTGTCTCCTGGATTCCAGGAAATATAACATTGCTCCTGATTATCTATGTTACTAAGTACTAGAGCACTTCAAAGAGTCACGATTTCATGAGAGTAGATGTTTTCTCCATTCACAAACACAGATTATAATCCCTTAGTTCCTTAGTAAATTATTTTCATGATTTCCTATGACTGAAAACTTTCAGCATCTAGTGGTCAACCTTTTGGATTCTTTGACCTCAGCTAGCTTGGTCCTCCACCAACAGACACATCATCTATCACTAGACTCAAATTCACAACCTTTCCAGTTAGATCTTTTGCTATAATGGTATAGCCTTCAAGAACCTAGGATTACCTCTATACCATAATGAGGTATTCCAAGTGAAATCCATTAGAGTGTAAGCTCCTTGAGGGCAGGAATTTTCTTTTGCCTCTTTTTGTAGCCCAAACACTTAGCACAATGCCAAATACATAGTAGATGCTTAATAAATGTTGATTGATTGATTGAAATCCACAGGGTGACCTCACATGTTGGACGGACCACCAAGGAAGTATAATCCCGCAGACGTTCTGAAGCCTCACAGGCATATCCCAAACATTTTATGTAACAGGAATATCATAGTAGGGGAAAGAATACCAGTCTGAGTGTCAAGAGAGCCAGGTTCTAGTCTCAACTCTGCCCCTGATGAGTTGTGTGACCTTGAATAAGACATTTGTCCAGAACTGAAGATTCTCAGAGTAGGAAGGGACCCCAAAGCCATTTAGTCAAACCATACCAGAACAAGAATTCCATCTACAATATACCAGAGAAGTAGTCTTCCAGCCTTTGCCTAAAGCCCCAGCCTATTGCTTGAAGACCTCTAGAGAGGGTGGTCTACCTCTAAGATGACTTGTTCCACTTTTGGATAGCTGTAATTGTTAGGAATTTTTCCTTACATCAAGTCTAAAAATGTGTCTGGACAGCTTCCCCCCATAGTCCCTACTTCCTCCTTTTGGGGCTAAGTAAACCAAGTCTAATCTCTCATTCATATGACAGCCATTCAAATACTTGAAAGCATCCTTACCTCCCACCCACATCTTCTCTTCTCTAGGCTAAATATCTACACTGCCAATGACCACTCCTCATATAGCATGAACTTGAGGCTTTTCCTATCCTGATTGCCCTCCTTTGTACATTTTCCAACTCTCCCTCTCTCTGCCTTAGTATCCTTATATGTAGAACACAAATGCCTCACCTCTAAGGTTTGCTATGAGAACTAAATGAGATATTGTATAGGAGTCCAGGAAGGATTTCAGGAGAATTCTAACAAAATTGAAAAAAAAAAACAACTAAAGTCTGTACTATATAAATTATTCTCCAAAAAAATTAGAAAAAACACACTATTAAATTTCTTTTAAGAGACCAACATAGTCCTAATACACAAACCAGGGAAGGATAAAGTAAGGAAAGAGAACTAAAGAACAACATTAGTAATGAACATCATTTCAATATTTGGAACAAAATCCTAGCAACAAGATTATAGCAATGTATCTCAAAAATTATTTGTTATGATCAGTTTGGATTTTTACCGGAGATACATTGTTGAACAGTAGAGCTATTGGATAATAAAGAACTTTAAAAAGAATAAGCATGTATCCCAGCATAAAAGATTATTGTTATTTCAAAGCTTCTAAAGGGAGATTAAGCATAGCAAATATTCAGTGAGTACTTGTTGGATTGAACCAGTTTAGGTCATATTAGACTTAGCTCCAGACCCCAGAATGTTTATCCTGTAGAATTATCAAAACAACCCTTGGTACTCATAACACCATTGGTAAGTGGGCAGGCAGCAGATAAAATATAGTAGGAAAGAGTGGATTCTTCTAAACTTTCATAAAATTAAACATACTTAAATCTCAGAAAAGGAACCTTAATTTTCCAGTAGGGAAACTCCATTGAACTGGGCCCCCTTACATAACAAAATTGCCCCCATCCCAGTCTCAGAAGTGTGTATACTGTGACTGAAGGAATCAGAAGAATTTACATTTTAGAAGGGAATGGAAGAGGGAGAAAGAAGAGAGGAAAGTAGGAGTTGAGAGAAAGAGAGAAAGGGAGAGAGCAAACAGAGAGGGAGAGAGGGAGGGAGGGAGGGAGGGAGGGAGAGAG